CGTGCATTAGGAGAAGTCGAACGCAGAGCGATATCATGATGACTGGGTCGATTGAGACCGGTAGGAGCAGATAGTCCAGCAGGAGGGGGAAGGCTGGGCACTGGGGTAGAGCTCGATCGTTGAGCGGATGGTTTCGCTGGCACAGACGATCGCTGATTAGCGGTAGGGGGTGTTGAACGGAGCTCATCATCACGCCTAAGTGGCGGGGAAGGGTCACCGAGTGGGGCTCTCGATCTTTGAGATGGCTTCACGGTGGCAGGTGGCAGTAGGCCATTTGGGTCCTTCGGCCGTAACGAGGGGCTATTAGTTCCAGGGCTTGGGACGGGAGCAGAAGCCAAATTGGTGCGACTCGTAGCAGTGCTTATAACAGACATAGATGTGCCTGGTCTCTTAGGACCGACAAGCTTCACGAGTGGCAAGTCTTCCTCATCAGAATCACTATCCTCCTCTTCGTCTTCGTCACTTGTATCACTAGCCGCAGAAAGTCGAGAAGATCTCCCGCCTTTCATAGCGCTAGGGAGGGCTGGCGTGGAGACCGAAGCTTGAGAACGCTTATACGCACTCAAAGTACCAGAGGTCTGGCTTCCAGGGCGTGAAGGGAAATCTAAATCCTCAGATTTTCCGGAGTTCCGAGTAGAAACGGGCACTGAAGGCTTAGCCACCGGAGGTGGCGGACGAGCGAGTCTAGGCGGTCGCAAGGGTGGTGCCGTGGCAGGGACAGATGAATCTTTCGGCGGAGGGCGAGAATGTCCCCTACGCCGTTGGATGCGGTGCGTTGGGTGATAGTGTCTTGCCTAGCCAACGTCATGGTCCCGGTAGGTGACTGATCTTCAACATCTGTGGCAAAGGAAGATCGTGCAGAACCTGGCTTGATCGTCCGAGCGGACGACGTGGGAGTCCCAATAGACCAGTCAGAGGTGAAAAGGGATTTAAACTCGTCGGGAACCAAGGACGAAGAAGGGCGAGTTTGTGGAGGGGTATTTATCCGAGACGGGGGCTTTGTGTCAATGGGCTCGGTGCGACTTGGTGAAGATGGATCATGGATAGGAGACCCTACAAGGTTAACGGAGCTCCGCCGCGCCTGAGCCTGCCGGAATGCGGCGACAGTGACTTTTTGTGAAGAGTCGGAGTCGACGCTGTCGTGTCGAGAGCGAGAAGCAGGGAAAGAATTCAGTGCACTACGAGAGGAGGTTGAGGAAGGAGATAAATTAGGGGAGGAAAGGGTGGACGGGGACGGTTTGGCCGAATTCTTTGGCCGAGCGGTATTCGCGTAAGGAATGCTAAGCCCTGGGGATACTGGACGGACATGGCGAAAGGATGTCACCTTGAATGAGTCGTCATCCTTGCTGGAAGAGCGCTTTTCTGGTGAGGTAGTAGGGGGGGTTAGGGGAGCTTTACGATGAGGTAAAGGAGGTATTGAAGGGGAAGTTGGAAGCAGGGAAGCAGTTGAAGACTTGGGTTTGAAAGACATCCATCCAAAAATCTTGGATTTGCTTGAAGATGACTTGAAGGAAGGCTCGCTGCCACCCCAACCTTCTTGAGTACTGGAGCTTCGCGGCCGTGAGAGAGTTGTGGGTTGCGGTGGAGCTGGCGGTCCAAGCCTCAAAGCCAGAGCATCCTCGGGTAAAGACAGTGTCGATCGACTGGTTTGGCCATTGCCACCGTAGGCGTAACCGCCAAATACGGCGGAACGGGAAGGGGGAGGTTGTAGCTTGGACGAGTCGTGTGGCACCTTGGGAGACCGCGTGCCATTTGATCTTGCAGATGAGTGCTGCCCGACGGGAGGGTCATTTCGTCGGCCCTGGGGTCTGTCACTGTGCTGTCCGCGACGGGCATGCACATCAGAGTCGAGTGATAAGGTTGGAGAGGCGATATCGGGTAACACGTAATTTTTATAGCTTCGACTGGTGGACGAGTGGTCATCGGAAGGGGAATAGGATGAAGATACGGAAGAAACCTGGTTTGCCGTCGCCGACTGCTTGCTTTTCTTTGGGAAAAGACCGAATAAAGGCATGCCGTAGAGACGTGTGTCTCGCGCTCTACGCGGCAAGAACTAAGGAAAGAGGGAATGCACGCTTGTCACCTGCTGACGGGTCGATGGGCGCTCACTGGGACCCAAACAATATCAGAAGGAACGTGAAATGAAGTTGTGGTACAAGCTTGACTTCCGGGTATTGCCGAATTTCATGTCATTGTCAAGGTTTTCCTCTCATGACTTTGGCCCTTGGGAGGCCCTCGGCACGTTCATCCACCTTGATAGGTTCCGGGCGGCATTCTGCTCGTAACACGCCTCATGGGATCCTCCTGGGATCACTACATAATCAATGGAAGTTTTATGTTTATTACGTTCGATTGACGTCCCCTTTGCCCGTCCCATTCCCTCCCTGTTCCTCGTATATAGGCCCATGCTGACGAACACTCTCGATTACCAAACGACCACTCCTCCCATCCCGATATTATCCTGGGTATATTCGTCTGTGCTATTAATATTCTTGGATTTAGTGACGTATCTATAATTAAGGGATAATAACTTACGCAATCACCGTGTGCAGCCACGGCCTATTCAGCGGGGGAAGCTGTAACGTTGTCATCTCCAGTTGAAACCCCTTCCTCCTTACGGTCTGGGCCCATCACCGCAGGATTAATAGGAAGCTGTGGCATCGCTTGTGGCTCGGTTTTCTCCGGCACAGGGTCGAATCTAGCCCCATCACCCCGGACGCCGGTACGGGCACAAAGTTGTTTCCAATACGCCTCGTGTTCGAATTCGTAATGATATTCCCCCCCCAACTGTGCATCTAGTTGCTCGGCTGGGAAGAGCTCTAGGAGATTAGGATTGAATCGCTGTGGCGACCAGTCAGATACGTCACTCATCCCGACCTATTTACTCACAATCTTCACGCGACGGGAACCCCGAGTTAGATTCAGAATGCAGGGAGAGCGAGATAATCGTTCACCTTGTCGCGTGTTACTGGATCCATGAAGGGTTGAATAGCTTTCATGAAGAAATTTAGGATCCAGGGGAGGTTTACGACTATCGCTCGCCCTAATCGTTCAACATAATGTTGTTGAACGATGGTCAAAAATTTCCGGGCGTTGGAAATAGATGGTGTGGTGCTCAAAGTGGTGCTGTTGTAATCTACTAGACAGGCCATTGAGTCCTGATCTGGAGGCATGAGGTCTATTGCTCGCTCTCTGTGTGTAGGGGCATGTTAATCAAGGAACTGTGCTAGTGCGAGGACGGACCCACATGTGGAATACCAGATGGCGAATTTGTCGGGGACTCTCCTTCGTGTTCTCTCTTCCCGGGCGGAAATACAGGACTGGCCTTCCCTCGAGGTCAAAGCCAGATAGTACGATTTTCCCGGTTTCGGCTTCAACCTGCACCTCATCAGGAGGGATGAGATCAGGTTTGTAGTCGCGTCGCTGACATAGCGAAGCATTAGAAACCGGCGGAAGCACTTGTCCAGGGTTCAGGATTTACTTGCCCATAAGAGGGTGTTGTGGATACGTCGCTTGGCTTCCTCCACGTTCCATTTGCTAGCACGAAGATATCTTTGGATGCATCCTGGAGCTGCTAGCCATTTCTTCTCATTCGGATAATACGGATCGGACTCGGGAAGGACAAGTGTATTCGCGTACTTTTTCGCCAACCATCAGAGCACGAAACAACAGTGTGTAAGAGCACACCTCTCTCAATTCTGTAATCTTGACCTCTTGTTCAGTCGTGTACGTCCATATCCTCGGCTTCGCAGTCTGAATCGGTTCTGTTAGGATCTTGTTCGTTGTCAGCACCCTTTTTGCCATTAATAATGGACCTCTGGGAAACGAACAATTTATCCATATTTGGGGATGTTTGCCGGATGCAAATGTTTAGCCTGCTCAACTCGAGCTCGTTTTGGCCACCCACCGTGGCTTCATGTAATAATCTATTTCGATTGACAGGTTGGCACATTCGAACACATTCGCCTCGCACCTGGGGCTTCCGGCGACCCTGCCTCGGCAGGTGTCTCTAGCAGGTTGGACGGCGGTCGACAGCCGCAAGGTGGGTGGGGTTTCCTGACAATCTTGGTATTGGGCTCCGAGACAATGAATCCGGGCGCCAGACTGTCCCCTTCACGTTGCATGGCCAGGCTGACACCCAGAACGCGAAAACCCGAAATTCGGGGGTGGACCAGTGGAAATAGGCTAAATTTGGTCCCAGAATTCCTAGTCCCGGGTTCCACAACGGGGCCTAATTCTCGTGAGAGCATCCCATGAAAATTCACAAGCCTCTGAGATACCCCTCAAAATCAACGCATTACGAAGGACAGACGTACCGATCATTCTATTGATGAGGAAACATCCCCGTCTTCACCAATAGGCCCCCCACTGCTCGAGACCCCTTCTGGTCTCCCCTTCATTTCACGCCGCTTTATTGTCGTTTCGATCTTCCACGGGTCTTGAACATGGAGCTAAAGATACGCTGAATCTACGTGTGGTGTGCGTAACGATGGCCCAGCATTGGAGAACCCGTACTGGTGATACTTTCCGTCACCTACGATACGAGTACATTTGATTGAACCTTTCCAGCCCCATTGTTCAATAAAACGGTGGATTTACTGATAAGGGACTGGATAATTTTCGATCTCACGCCAGTCGCTAGTCGTCCTGTCAGCAAGCTTCCCAGAGCCTTGCGGTCTCCAGGCACCCCATCGCAACCATGTATGTTCATTGGCGGGGGAATGTCGGAGCTTCCTCGAGTCGCTCGCCATGCAGACATCGCACTGAAGCCTGTCGATAGCAAAGTACAGTACAAGACAGAGACGGGAAAACAAATAGCCGCTTAAACAAGGTTTATTAGGACTTGAAAACCTTGTGGGCCACAAATTCAAAGTAGAGTTCTGAAGTGCATACCAAAATTCACATCACAAATTGAACACAATATTGCACCACTAAGAATTGGATTCCCTCCGGCTTCACGTCCGATGAAGAAGTGATTCAAGGCAGCCCACCAAGGATCCGGTGAGATGGCCGAGCGGTCTAAGGCGCTGCACTCAAGCGAAAAAGCTTGCCCCTTCTGGGGGTCAGTCTTGCAGTCTCAGTAATGGGGCGCGAGTTCAAATCTCGCTCTCATCAAAATTTTCGTACCTGAAATTAACGCTCCAGCGGGTCCACTAACCACAAATTTTCCTTCTGGAATCCATTATCCGCACTCATTGGAGCCTAACTTGAACCCACCGGCACTCAGCGCCCTTCCCCATGTCTTCTTGTCCTATCACCATTTCTTAACAGGAAGGACGCACACCAGATGATGTATGTATCACTTCGAGATGCCTTACGGTGACCAGAAAAGAGTCAACCCGGAGTCGAGCGTCAGACAGTGAGGACAAGACCTTCTCTTGTAAGACAGTCCAAATTTGCCCTCTAATTTATTAATTAACCCCGACAAAGACATGACAAAGAACAACGAAAGAGAAACGAGACGAGTTCTACCAGGGGAGCACGCACATCCTGCATGATCTCTACCTGAACTCAGATGCCGCCCAGGGACCACCTCTAGGTTAGCAAGGTGATAGGTCCCCGTTGTTGAAGACTATGACGTGAATATCCCTAAGATTTTGAACGATGGTACTTGCACCCCTTCTTCACCCAACAGTTGACACTCGATATAATGCGATCCAGAGGCAACGTTGGAATCAATAACTTGGATCCTATTCCAGAAAGTAATCAGTAATCAGAGAAAAACCTGGGCTATCAAGAGGGCATTGCGCGAGCAGACATACATAGGTGTGGGAGGTCCTGATCTTACGCCACCAATGGTTACTGCACCTTTGTAATTATTATCGACCCAGCAACTAATCTCGCTCACTAACGCATCCGGGTCCTGCGAAAGATACCAGATCACAACGTTTCCCCCCGATATCGTGACGGGGACGCGAAGTTTGCTTGTTGGATACGTCGCATACCAGTAATATGCGTCGGAAGGCGTCATGCTGTCCGCGATCGAATTTTGAGGCTTCTGGATATGCCAGCCGGATCCGAAGAATAGCGAGGAGGGAAGGGGGTTTATGAGATCATTTGCGGATACGCAGAACGGGTGGACTTCTTGGAATATATACGGGTCTGACCCGCCATCGATGAATGGACGCGTGGAGAGAAGGTAAGGTGGGACGTGCAAGGAGACTGCAGGTCTGGAGTCGGCTGCTGATGGCTTTTTCTTTTTCTTCATCACCTTCGTGTCATCTACCTCGTTCGTCTCCCCTTTACGAGCGTCCATTCCTCGGAAAAGTCCCTCCGAATCGGCGACAACGGCATTGGAGTCCGAAGGATAGCCAGGGACTGGAACGTCGAAGGTATACCCTCTGATGGCGGACCAGCCAGTGCATATCTGCTCTTGGAAATAATGAATGAGAACGTCTGCAAGAATGCGATGTCCACCGGGATTGGCAAGAACAGGATCGGTGTAATACTTTTCCCTGAGCAAGCTCGGATTATGCAGATAGCCATTGTACAGCAGACCTTTGGCACTTATGTGGGGGACGTCATAGAACTGGGCTACTGACGTATGCAGCTGCTCGGGCCCTGCATATCCATGAATGCCTTGAAGTTGAGGTGAGAAGTGGCCCAGTATTATAACAGCGGGCTGTTCTGGTCTGATTAAAATGGACCGCACAAGAAGCTCAAAATGACCCATCCAAGCCTCGTCTCTACCAAAAACACGCGTCAGGGGCGAAAATTTCCTAGGTGACTCTATCGGGAGGGAAGATGACTCACTGCTGATCATCGGTGTCGAACTCCAGAATAACAAGATCCGTCTTATCGGGAAGGTGATGCGAATTGCAATATGAGAAATATGACGAGTCAGTCCGTCTCCGTGCGCCATTGGTCAATTCTGATGCGGGATGGGGGAAGACAGTGTTCCACCAGTCGAAGAATTGGGCTGGATAGCAAGAAGGTGATAAAGGCTCATCCCCGGCGCCATGGCATGCAGTGACGGATCCGCCGAGGACGGAGATAGTAACAGGCTGGCCTCGAAGTGCTTTATTGATTACCTGCTGCACACGCGCACTCGAACCCCGGTGCAAATTGCTCTTGTGTAGAGAAGATGCAGTGTACAGCTTCGCAAGTTCGTCCCCTGGTCCGTATATTGGGCAGAATGAAAATGGTGCCGGGTCATGTGCGGAAACATTCAAGTAATTGCGCGCAACAAGATTGCGGGATATGAAACCATTTCGTGATCCATAGGGGAATGTTGAAGGCGAGTCGGGAAAGAGGGTGAGACGTGTGAAGAGGAATATGACGAAGACAATGAGGAGGAAAATTGTGATGCGGGGGGTTAGGGATGGCCTGAGCGACTTGGATGTCCGAAGAGGGCTGGATCGAGTGTCCATTCTTGAAGAAGATTGCTGTGAAGGAGGGCGTATGTTTGCTCTCCGCTGCATGTGGATGAGACAAACTCGAGGAGACAAAGGGAGTGAAGTGCAATTGGAGGGATAGGGGGAAACACTAGGGAGAGCGGATACACAGGTGTGAGCTTATTCAAAGGCCTTTTCGGCGCAGTCGCTCAGGACGACGCTGAGCCAAGTGGGGAGCCGAGCGAGGGGAATAATAATAGGCGGTAGTGTATGAGATCAACGGCGAGTGCCGCAACGGCGCAACCTAGGCCGTTCCTGACAGTGACAAATTCATGGCCTCACCCTGTCACGATTGTTCTGAACCACGCAGCGGTCGCGTACCAGAACGCTGATGGTGCATCGTTTTCTGAGGCCGCTATTCTTGGCCCGGATGAAGCTGGCTTCTACGATCTACAGAATGATCTCCTGGACGTTCGTATCTCTCATTGCTGCTTTAGCTCGCATTCCTTATCGATTTCTCTCCTTAGAACGACATCGACATTAAACCAATGGTGTTGACTTACTTTCCGCATCGCGACGATAAAATTGCGGCCGACCTTCTCTGTGATATTTTTGTTTATATCAGAAGTGTGAACAGTAGCGTTTGGAACGAGAACGAAACGCCTCAGCATATAGGAGATGACCAAGACGAAGTCGATGACTTTAACAATTTACTCTCTGCCTACGGGTACATGGTTTTTCTCCCATTGAGAGTGACTTGATTTATGTATATTTCTCGATAACAGTCATGCTGCAAAAATATTTCAGCAGCGAAAATCCGGCTGGTTCGTTCCCGTTCTGCACAAACTCACTACCCGGCTGGTGGCCTTGGCAGCCCGAGTGGGTGACCATCTCGGCCTGTGTTATTGGTCGCTGCTCATACTATGGACTTAAGGATAGGCTGACAACGCGTCCAGATCGAAACGTGGGAAGTATATCGAGACAGTTACACGTGTAATCATCCCACCATTTGGTCTTGCTGCTGCCGACAGGTGCGTCTGATGAAGTAGCTCGTCTCGCCTCGATAACTAACTCAATTGTGCAGAGGCACAGATATTCCGGACAAACGTGACGCCACTTTCTTCCTAGCTAATCTTCTTTTCAAGTTGTACTATGACGTGGGTCAAGTTATTCGTGCTGAGCCCTCAGGCGCTTACTTTCGTCTTTTGCAGTTGGATAATATCCGTCTTTGTGATACCATTCTAAAGAACCTGGAGAAACAGCTGCCCCGCCTGCTTGAATTTCCTCGTGCCGATCAGACCATGTTTCACTTCTGGCGTGGGCGAATATATCTGACACAACTGAGAATACGCCAGGTTTGTTTCTCTGGAAATGTCATCAATTATGCGATTCTTACGGAAGATATTTCAGGCTCATGACGAGCTGGCCCTGGCCTTCGACATGTGTACTAATGCGAATTATAAAACAAAGCGGTACGCGAGTTTTACTTTCTCGTCCCACTATGTCGTGAGGAACCTCTGACCTACATTTGTATCGGGCAGAATTATATTCATCTATTTGCTCAGCACGTCTATTCCGCTTGGGCGCTTGCCACATCCATCATTGCTCGGATATTTCTCCCTATCTACCCAATTCTCGCCTCTCATTCATGCCACTAGACTTGGGGATATAGCGGCATATCGTTCCGCGTTGTCTGGTACCTGGAGATCATGGTTTGCGCGCCGAGGGGTTTGGATGATGTTGAAGGAAAAAGGTGAAGTCGTGGTCTGGAGGAGTCTTGTCCGAAGAGTGTGAGTCCAAGTTCTACGTCGGTTTGACCCATTAGGAAGGTCACCGCTGGTCCTCACGTGCAGAGTCCTTTTGGCGCGCGAGCGAATGCCTACGATGTTCTCGACGAGTGTGAAAGCCCCCCCGACCGTCATGTTCACAGATATCCTCACGGCTCTTCATGTCTCATCTAAAGATTCAACGTATACGATGAATGATGTGGAAAGTATGTGCTGCAGTTTACTTGATCAGGTAAGCTTTCTCCCCACCCCTTTATCCAAGATATCGTCCTGTTCGCGCCTGAGCAGCCAATATTTCGCAGGGTTATATTAAGGGCTACATCCTACATTCACGGTCTACCCTCGTCCTACAAAAGTCTGATGCCCTTGGATTCCCACCTCCTTCGAGTGTATCGATTGACTCAGGTACGGTAGATGGGGAAGATGAATGATGGATTACCTGTCACTTCTCTATTTGTGAAAGTCAGTCCCGATTTATTCTGAGAGTTTCGATGTTACGTTGGGTGAGGCTCAACGGATGGTTGTTGCTCAGTCGCTGATTATTAAGGCACTGGTACACATACATATAGTGTGCGATATACCGTCTGGGGTGAGTTGGAAAGGAAAGGTCAAAGGTCCTACTGTCCATGATCCGTTGCCCATCCTCGATTCCACCAGCCCTCCCTGCGCTTTCCAGCGGCATCACTTGGCTGCATCCCGGTGCTCTTCCTGCTAAGTTCTCTTGACGGTTCCAGTTGGTGCTCCAGTGTGGCTATGCGTGCTGGTCCGGGATGGTTAGCGATAATGTTTTGCCCGCGCCTCTACAAGACGAGTCTTAAATACTGATCTATAGGAAATCATTAGTAAATGAATCATCCAGACCTGCGATGATCCCATGATTATTGTTCTTGAAGACAAGGGTATCCTGCCGGGACTGTACACGGAAAATCCAGGAAAAACATCGAAGCATCAGTGTATTAATTTGGGAGCATGGTTTTCCCCCGGTGACTATATT